AAAAGTTGTATAGCTGTAATTGCTTAACGTGCACATTTTTTATCTTATTCTGTTGTATCTGTTTATCCTTCTATAAAAAGCCATAAACTTAAAGTACATTACAGTCAAAGCCCTATTACATTTCTTTTCAAATATTGAATTTGAATAAAAATTAATATTACTTCAGAATCAGACTATGGGCAAGTATATAACACAAAGATCTCCTACCAATTAGAACAGTACCTCTTATTGCAAAATTCATACAGACATAACACTATGATGCCTTGCACAAAACAACAGAGCTTATACTGCATTTAAAGAAACGTCCTGTCTTGTGTAAACACAATATCATTTTAAGGTCACTAAGGGAATACAAAATAGGGTTATATAGAAAAGCAAAATGCACGGTAGTGTGAGATGTAAAAGTTATTAAATCATACAGTTAAGTAAATATATTGAGATCAGGAGCAAAGTATGCAGTGCAAAATGACTTTCTTTCCAATAGAGATACACAAAATATGAAGAAGCAGCTTATTATGTTCACCAGCCATGAGATTTGAATCTAAAACCTTCTGAACACAGACCCCCCCTAATTAACTGAACTACACACTGCCAATCAGAGGCTTTTCTCATGTAACAGATGATGGAGCCACACAAACTGCCCTGTGATTTAATGCCCTGCCCTGTGATTACGGTTTGAGGGTGAAACCTTTCATTAACTGACATTGAATATCTGTATTAGCAGGCCTATTCGCCACATCTCCTGCTCCTTTGCCTTACCCTCTGCCATGCATGCAACCTGACTGAGTATAAAGTGGGTGAGGAGTGCTGCCCAATGTGTCCTTCCGGTGAGCCATCTTCCGTCGTGCTCTGGTTCCTGTCTGAAGTGCCGGACTACAGGCTTGAGTTCTTTACGTCGGGACGTGAAGGACCTCTATCTAACTTACCAAATGTGTTTTTCCTCCAGGACATCATGTTCAAAAACATTGTAGCAGAAATGCTAACACTACATGTGCTCCATGTACCGGATTGACTTTCAATGATGAACCAAATGGACTCTCACACTGTAAGCTATGTGCGGTTTGTGACCAAGGTAAAATCAATCAACTACTGTTCCATACCTTTTAAAGTAATATACTGTGTAGCATCCCATCTATTCTGTAATGGTTTAATAATCTCATGTGTGTGGTTTTATTGATTTAATCTGCATTCCCTGTAGGCCTTGGTTTGAAAACAGTGAGGGCATGTACACTCACTTCAGACACAGTGTGTGGGGTCCTGGAAGGGCACTATTGTATTAGTACTTATAAGGGAGGATGCAGAACAGCCCATAAACACACAGCCTGTGAACCTGGACAGTTCATCAAACAGCCAGGTCTGATTTCCCTTTCGCATTCTTAAACCTTATTGACATTTTATAAATGTTTCTGACCTATAATCCGTTTTTAAAAACTGCTTGCAATACATTTTAATATCTTCTAATAATAATCTGTCATATTTACTTGGATAGGAACAGCCTCTGCAAATACTGCATGTGAGGACTGTCAGGAAAATTCATACTCAAACGGTTCTTTTACATCCTGCATGCCACATGCAACTTGCAGACCTGGACAATTCATTCATTGGATGGGTAGAACTGGCTTTCTTTTGCTCTAAAGAATAAACCAAATGCATTTTATAGCAAATTTTTAAAATATACAGTGTAGCCAAAAATTATTTGTATCCCATGGAAAAAATGGTCAAAAATGGAAATTGTGGATATTGATTGTGAAATTGTATGACTCATTTCCTCAGTGCATTGGGTATTTCAGCAGTTTTACTCATGTTGAGAAACTCAACTAACCCTA